AGCAGATGCAATACTACACCGGGATTGTGTTGGCTATCAGTGACTAACATGTTTTTTCCACTATAATTATTGCTTTCTTTTTTAGTTTGGTTTATGTGATTGTGGCAAAGAGTCAAGGGCTATCTGCCTAAGGGGAGGGATGCCTTTGTAGAAGACTTTCTAAGGGAAACTGGCTCATATACGCGTTACACATGAGGAAAACGTCTATGTGGTGAGCCCATTTGTGAGATTTGATCCTTGGACTGTACCAGCAGTGTTTAGAGACTACCACTTGGCCACTGGTGAGCCCGCTTTTTTTTTTATAGGCAGGTCATAGAAACACTACAACAAAAATTTTTAAGTGTTGATTATTATAATACATAGCTACTTTAGTTTCTCCTTTTTTTTTTTTTTTTTTGCTATTACAGCCATTTGTTAGTGCAGTAGCATATGCGTTAATTCAAGCTTTCTTTGCATGATTTTACTTTAATGCTTAGCTTGTAAATTTATGAAAGAAAAGCAGTTTTTATAGAAGACAAATTTCTACACAGGAATTAAAGTTGAAAAGGGGACCAAATTTCTCCTTGTATTAACAAAACTGTCTGTTTTGTTCCCTGTTAAAGGCAACATAATCTCAACACAACTATACAATGAGCATGATAAAATTTTCTTCAAACTTTTACTCATATCAGATAAAATGCTCTTTTTACTTCTTCGTAAAATATGTGAAAAATCTAATGTAATTTAACAAGGAGCCAAATTTAGAATAAGAAATGCTTGTTTTAGCCATGATCTCATATTAACACATAGGACCATATTTGCTACCATATATTAAACACCGTGTTTTTATAGAAGGAATGCCAGGAAGTGTAATTTTTATGTCATAAATTTATAAACTGACCCTTCCTCATGTAAACTAAACTCAGTGGCCTAACAGCCCTAGTGGGCCAATGCCTGCAGTGCCCCGAAATCTGCTTTCTTGACCGTGGGCCCTGGGGTGCGTAAGCATATGCCCTGAACAAATGGTTAGCTTGTCGCAGGATCCTCAGTGTTTAGTCCCCAACCGAACTTGGTACTCATTTCATCGACCCAAAGAATGGAAATCAAGGGGTGAAAGGCTGAGTTGACTTTGCCCAGAGCGGGGATCGAACCCCGGACCTGTGGTGCTGCTGCACGATGCACTAGCCACTGTGCCACCGGGTCTCCGAACCTTCCACATGTATTATCAGCATATTTTAGGCATAGATGACAGCACCAGCTTATTAGAAGAAACATGAATGTTGTTTGCAACAATGCAAGCACTTTTTAGACGTAAATTTTTTGTTAATTTTGCAAACATTTTATTAATAAAACTGTTAATAACTACTATTATAAGTAACTACTACAAGTAAAAGAGTTAATGTATCATACAGTAAAAAATATTTTTAACAAAATTATCGTTTTTAATGCTAAAATGTGTTTTTAAAATCATGGTAGCAAATATACTATCATGGGCATTTGTGTACCTAGGCCTAAGCAGTTCTCTGAAGAAAATATTTTTTTACATTGAATTTAAAGTTTATGATCTTAAATCTTTTTAATTTTATAGATAATATATCCTAAAATACATTTTATAGATTTAAATTTTATTAGTTTAAATTTCGCTATTTTTTATTTTAAAAAAATATTTTACATTATATTTTTCCTGTGAAAAAATCTCTCGGAAAATTCATTTTGAGATTTAAGTTGAAAAATAAATTTAATCCTCTGTTAAATCTCAAGTTCTTTTTAATATATTTGTATTTTATTTATGGAATGAAATAACATTTCATAAAATTTTCAATAAAATCTTGAATTTTTTTCCCGGCCAAGCACTTCAGCTTCCTTTTTACACACAGTAAGAGGAACAAATGTGTTTGAAAAACCAGAAGATGCCACAGCATATATGAATGATTTGGAAAGTAATTTATCTGATACATCTGATGATGAATATATGTCTACACAATGGTCTGATATCTTCCATGAAAAAAGCTCAGATGATGAAGACCAAGATCATAATGAAGATGTAGAAAATGCCCAAAATGCATCAAATATTGAAGAAAGTGTCTATCTACATAAGCTGTAATTAGAAGATTAAGGAACAGCACAATCTGCAACATTAACTGAAATGCCTTAGATAATTTTAGCGTAGCTTATACCACCTGTTATACATTAAACGCGCATGCGTAAAAAAAAAAAAAAAAAAAAAAAAAAAAAAAAAAAACACAAAAAAAAAAAAAAAAAAAAAAAAAAAAAAAAAAAAAAAAAAAAAAAAAAAACAAAAAAAAAAAAAAAAAAAAAAAAAAAAAAAAAAAAAAAAAAAAAAAAAAAAATTTAATTAATTTTTTTTGTTTGGAAATTTCTTGTGATGGGCATTAGAGAGTTACTGAAGCTTATATTGAACTAGTTTAACCGTACATATATATATGCACAGTATCACAAATCTTTATTTAACCCCTTAACACATGGTGGTCACACCCTGAAACCATTAATTTTTTAATTTCTGTCCGCTTCTTTCCGAAAATTTTTAGTAATGGTGTTTGTTGCTTTCAAACAGAAGTGTTTATTTTTATTCGGATATAGATAAGAGGCTCTAAAACCACAGAGTTATTTTATTACTAAACAATACATGCACCTTGCCCAGTGAAAATATCTTTCATTTCCAGAGATTTTTCTCTGAGCTCAACACATTTGCTTCCTATATTAGTACTGTGACTTTATAAATCATTTTTTATGGTTTAAGTATAACGTAAATATATTTTGCTACAATTAAAAATAGAAATCACGTAAAAGTTTTATTTAAATTTAAAATATTTTGGGAAAAAATACGAGTAAAATAAATATGAATGGAAAATGAAGGATCTATGCCAAAGCCAAAGAGATCAACCCTCCCTATAAACATAGAAACCACAAAATTCATGTGCCAGATGAAAAGAGATTTATGAATGCTCGACATATGTCCATAAAATGGAAATCCCAATTGTGTACATTTTGTAGCACAAGGGAGAAACCTCATAGAACAATACACATGTATGAAACATGCAACTATGCACATAACAAAGACAAAACATGCTTTGAAGAGTTTCAAAAAAAAAAAAAAAAAAAAAAGTTTTTTAACCCTTACTTAGTGTTTTATCCATTTATTCGAACATGCTTATGTTTTCACTGCTATAGAAAAATTACATAAATGTTCATTTTTAAATTTTTCTGACGATTTACTTTGTAAAATAATGTAAAAAATTTACATAAAATACAACTCTTAAATACATTTTTTTTAACATTAGCAAATTTCATCATTTATTTGAAATGCACATGGAAAAAGGTTAGTCCTCCCTCTGCTACCCCAGTAAGTTTCAAAATCCTAGATGCAAGCTGGTTTCACAGTGCGACCACCACCCACAAGACCAATAGACAAACGCAGATTTTTTTTTTAAATTTATGTATTATTCGTCTCTAGGATCATAATATTTGATTTCTAGAATTTTTTAGTTAAAATATTATAAAAATAATATTACGTGCATCAAAAGGTCAAAAACAAAATTATCCCAATTTATTTCCACTCAATATGTTGCTGAGAATTAACCAGTACAGACAATAAGAAATTTAGAACCATTTCCATAAAACCTCAAAAGAAGTGAAATTCAATACCATTAAATTTTAAAACTCTCTATAAAATATGTAAAATTAACCAAAAGTCAGAAGAATTAAAGATATGTAAAACACTAAAACATTTAATGTCACTGAATTTCACTTTTTTGGGGGTCTTTGTGGAATTGGTTCTAAATTTCTTACTTATTCTCTCTCTCTCTCTCTCTATATATATATATATAGATCTGATCTCAATGAAAAATTCTAATTTTTTTTAAACATGTCTAAAAAATATCTAGTTCAAGATGGATAACAGGTTTCTATACGTTATAATTGGGGGGGGGGAAATCTGGTATTTACGAAAACTATTTAAAACTAAATTTAAAAAATGAAAACAGAAATAATACATTTAGTTAGATTAATTAATGAATAATTCATTACAAATTACATAAAAAATAAGCAAGGAGATAAAAAAATATCAAATACAATATCAATCACATTTAATTAACAATACACAAATTTTGAGGGCTAATTTTAAGAATGCGATTTTCAGAAAACTTTGCATTTAGGGATAATTTGAGATATAGAATATAAATATGGGAAAAAATGGACATGTCGTTTTAGAAATTTATGCTGAACTCGCATGCTAAGAAAATGCTATATGTATAAATGTACTTCAAGAAATGAAAATGGAAGCTAAATTTGTTGGTTGGCCAAATAGAATGGGAGATATAAGACCGAAAACATTCCCCTTTTCTCCCTTCTCTACTTAACGTACATAAATACAAAATTTTAATCAACTATTAAAAGAAATATTTACACATAACAATCTATGTAATCATGCTTTACATAAAGACTTACACTTTCAGCAATTAAAAAACAATTGTAATTCAAAAATAAAAAATTGCAGATTTCATATTTCAAAATTATTATTTCTTGTATTACAAAAATACAGATCTTTTCTGTTACAGGACAAAACAATTTTCTCGGCATAATAATGCATCAAACAATTTTCTCTACAAAGGTTTCTGCACAAATTTGATTTTTCATACGAGAAAACATACTTTTATCATCAGTTCATTTCAATTGATGTAAAACTTTTCTTAAAATAAGAAATATACATTTTAGGTTAGTTATTTTACTAATCAAAGACAATATATCTTTTAGGTTAGTTATTTTACTAATCAAAGACAATATATCTTTTAGGTTAGTTATTTTAATAATCAAAGACAATATATCTTTTAGGATGGTTATTTTACTAATCAAAGACAGAAACAGTAAAACCACTTTACAAAACGTTTTGTTGATAATATTTACTTTGAAAACAAGAACATAAGTCTAAGAAATAAAAAAGACACATTTAATTGTAACTAATAGATATTTTAAGACATTTAATAAATGATAAGAAAAGGTACCTTTGGTAAATTTGGTAGTTCAAAGACATCTGTGTGATGTAAATAAAACCATGACTGATGATGATGAAAATAATAAAACGATACTAAATGATGCCCATAATCATTATCTAATCCACATTTACTCATAATAAGGGTCTTATATATAGCTGGCATAGAAGGATAAGTCCATGTCCATAAAATATCATTATTAGTATCCTTCTCTGAAATAAACAAAGAATATTTCATGTGAATAATATTAACCTAATGAGTTAATTAAAATCATTTTTAAAAACAGAATTAATGGCAATTAATAATTCAAATGAATGAATCCTAGCAAGAAATTCAGTTTATCTATGTTATATATTTTTGTAAGCTCTTTTCTTTGTGTGTGTGTGTGACAGGGGGGGATAATGCTGTTCATACTTACATTGAATCACATTGCAATATAAAAAACATATACACCACGTCTACAAAAGTTCTTGACTTCCCTTTATTTTCATAACCATTTGTAAAGAAAAAAAGTTTGACTTCCATATATATATATATACAGTCAAAAGTCGTTAATCCAGACTCGTCGGGACTTCGGCGATTCCCGATTATCGACTTTTCCGGATTATAGATCATCAGTTTAAATCTCGTAAGATGGCATGCAGAAATTCTAAAATTAAAAATATGAAACCGTAATTTATGAAATAAAGAACAATTCGATCTAAAGGGTATCAAAAAAATTTACAAAAAAAAAAAAAAAAAAAAAAAAAAAAAAAAGCTTAATATTTATTTGTTTATTTTATTAAACATTTCTTTCAATGCAAGTTGTTAAGTTGCTTCGTTTTTTTGTTTATGTGATAATACTTTCTCTTTATTCTATAAACAGACATAATTCTTGTTCAGTTACAAAAGTTCCGCTGTTAATTTGCTGTGCCGAGAATACCGACAACTTGTCAATCGAAATTTTTTCGTTTCACTAACCTTTCTGTCACATTCTTCACCGTCTTTTAATAATTTTTTGCAGCAATTCCACTTTTTGTTTTTTTGTTTGATGGACATCGAAAACACACTTTCATTTGTACGATCCTTTGGGAGCTCCCAGAATCGGAAATTCTATTTGAACATAATCGAAAGTTCAAGTTTACTTTTTTGCTGTGCCGAGAATACCAACTAACTTGTCAATCGAAATTTTTCGTTTTCACTAACCTCTCTGTCACATTCTTCATGTCTTTATCCATTTTTGCAGCAATTCCACTTTTTGTTTTTGATGGACTCAAAGCACACTTTCGTTTTGTACGATCCTTTGGGAGCCCAGAATCGGAAGGCTATAATTTTGACATAATCGAAAGTTCAAGTTTACTTTTATAGTATTGCTCTTACAGTCTGCAAAAATAATCCGGGATCCTTCGAGATTAAGGAACAACGCAATCATCACATTAACTGAAATAGATAATTAGATAATTTTAGCTTATCCCGGCGTTATCCATAAACCGCGCACGTGGCCCACATTTGCACTTGCGCACCGCCTTATGCGCAGTTGTAAAAGGTCTTACGGTGGCCGCGGTGGTGGGCTAACGCTCTTTGTGTTGCGCAGCCATGGCGGCGGAAAGGTTTTAGCTTTGAAGTCCGATTATGGGTGTCCGAAATTAACGACTTTTGACTGTAATAAAACAGTCAATGCGAATGTCGCGATTTCTGATTGGTTTTGATTTGCAAGAGGTCAGTTAATAAATAAATAAGGCTACTTTATCTAAATATAGTATTAGAAAAGATAAATTCCCCCCCCCGGAAAATGGCACTCAAAAATAGTCATTTTGATTAACTTAAGACAATAAGGAGATTTTTTTAATAGCGAAAAAAAAATAAATTATTCTCATGAAGTTTTATTACTTTGGAATATTAATCTGGTAATCATATATAAAAATTCATTAAACAACAAATATTTTTCATTTTTATGTAATGCAAATAACATTACAAGTTGGTTATGTGCCAATACTACAGCCTGTCAGTGTTTTTTAGAACACACATTTTATAAGATTTTGTGGTTAAGAATCTCCATTTTGATAAAATTTATACTGATGAATATTTATGGTTATGTGCCAATACTACAGCCTGTCAGTGTTTTTTAGAACACAGATTTTATAAGATTCTGTGATTAAGAATCTCCATTTTGATAAAATTTATACTGATTAATATTTTTCATACTAATCTGCATAAAAATGCTCACTCTTAACATCAGAAAAGTTTTTCTAAATAATATTTTGAGTTACACACAAATGCAAACATTTAATGCTTCAATTTATGTATGGCCACTTAATATGATTAATGATTTTCATATCAAATATTTTGGTCAATTTTTTTCATATTGAAGTCAAACTTTTCGTGCTTTATTTTTTTATAACGAGCACAAAATTTTCCTAAACATAAGTATAGGAATTGGAGGAATGTGTAAAAATATGGATTTTGTATTTTACAAAAAATTATTATTTTTTTAAAGTTAAAAACATGAAAACTTAAATCTCTGCATAATTTAAAACATATTTATAGCTGGTGACCCAAGGTTGTGAAAATAAATGCCCAGTAAGTACTTCTGTGAACATGGTGTATACAGATTTTCCCCACTTTGTTCAGGTGAATTTTTTCATAACGGCATAAAGTAAAGCATAATTAAAGCATGTAAAGGGGTCATTTTACATAGGGTCGTAGAAGAGTCCTGTATAGTGTAACAAGTATTTATTAACAGGTTTAAGTTACACACAGACATTACATTTAACTTAAGAAAAATTACAGAAAATTAAGAAAAATTACAGAGCAAAAGTCCGTACAACCTATCAAGTGGGAGCCTTGGCTTTTACTGAAGTACTTCTCTGGCTACTCACCAGAGGGCAGCCTTGTTGTAACAGTCAGTCCAACAGTTTATGTTAAAGGATTGGTTACAAGCATTATTTTAAATGGGAAAAAGTTTCAAGCATTCTCATACCTTTCAAAAGATATAAAACATGCCTTCAAATCTAAAATATAAGAATTTATCACATAATAAAAGCATAAAACCATTTAAAAAAATGTACATATGATGTAATTTTAGCTTATACATCTGAAAGGAGAGTCATCATACTGGAAAAAATTAAAGTGGTGTTCATGGTGATTATGCTTACGGGGTCACAGATTCATAGTGGGATACATATGGCCTATAGAGTAGAAGACAGAGGACAAAAGTCATCTACAATTTCCTGTGTGAGGGGAGCTGCGGTTTTGACTACAATGAAAACTGAAGATCTTAAAGTTTAAAGATTATTTTGCTCACAATCATTAAAGGCTATGGAGTATGTACATGTTCTTTTAAAGTAAGGCTCAAGCATTCTAAAATTTATTTCATTTGAAAATGAAATTATTCAGAAATGGATGGGATTTGTTAGCAACTGTAGTAATGTATAAAATTACTCAAGAACATTTCCTGGGGTATAATGCTCCACACTTTTATCACATTATTGATAGATAAGATTGAATACTGCCAACAAAGAAACAATAATCAAATTCCCAGCATTACACTAGAAACCAATTTATTCATTTATTCTGAAAAGAGCTATCACATCAGACAAGAGCACTCAAGATATTTGATTAAGTTTATAGCTTCACAATTCAAGATAGCAATGACTCGAGTTTGCACTGAAAGGCAAGTCCAGGAGTGAAGTTTTTCAGATCAAGAAAGCTGCTGTCCCCCCCCAAAAAAAAATTGCATCGGCTTTATTCTTCTCAGGGCGGCTGTAGTTAACATGGAATGTCATAACTGTATAAAGATAACAACTGATAGACGTGGTGGTAAACCTTCATTTCATAAAACCAAAAAATGAAATCCCAAGACTATTCAAAATCTTAAGGAAACAAAATCTGAAAGCTTTCACATTTTATATTATGCCCAAAGAGGCATTTTTAAAACATTTTGTGTGTTACTTTTATTTATTACATATCATGTTCTTAGCACTTATACATAAAATTCAATTCATCAGCAACAACATAAAATACTTTAAAAAGAGCATATTTTTAGAATTTCCGATACAGTCTTGTGCTCTGGATATAAAAATGTCCCCCTCCCCCATACAGTGTTGCCATTGCTCGCTTTCAAATTGTTGAGTTTATTAATAAAAAATTTGTTTACGTTTTACAAATATGAAATATATATAACAGCCCTTCTGGGAAAATTGCCCCTTTGAGCTAAAAAAAAAAGTATAATGAACTTACTAATTTTCTCTTCCATGTTTAGTAAGATGGTTTTTCAAAAGGAAATTGCTTTATTTGCTTTTATGAATGGAGATATTACTTTATGAATGGAGATAAGAATTTTTGCTTCCTGATAACAAATGTGATTTTAATACTAGATGATTATTATGTGGCTGTGTTACCTTCTAATGAAATATAAATGGAATTAAAAAGCAACATAAAAATATGCATGTGTATTCTTTTCATAGAAAATTTGATATTCCACATCATCTCTTCTCCAAAACTAAGGTTATAAATTTATATCATATGTATTTTTTTAAAATTTACTTTTAAAATTTTTTTCACTGCTCAAAAATGCATAGAAAATTATCATATGGATAACTGGTTACAGCTAGTGGTTTTCTATTAGTAGCACTTTCAGATAAAGTCATCAAAATATTCTGCTAGATAGTTTAATAACTGTTGACGTACGTTTACTCAATGGCACTAACACTTGATGTTTGTAATGCCTGCAAATGAGTACAAAGTATTTTCAAAAAGTATTTTTATCACAATAATTTATTTTTAATAATACAACTTTTATAATTTTACTAAGTAACATTCATTAAATTCAAGATTACCAGTTTTCATACTCAAATGTATTACATTTTAAATATGAAATGTATATTCATTTTGCCACTATTGCCATTTAACGTCAAAAGTCTTTAATCTGGACTCGTCGAGACTTCGGCGATTCCCGATTATCGGTTTTTCCGGATTATAGATCATCAGTTTAAATCTGGTAAGATGGCATGCAGAAATTATAAAATTAAAAATATGAAACCGTAATTTATGAAATAAAGAGCAATTATGGATCTAAAGGGTATTAAAATTTACAAAAAAAAAGAGCTTAATATTTGTTTACTTTATTAAACATTTCTCTCAACGCGCGCATGCGTAAAGCATACATTACGCATAGTTGAAATTAGAAAATTGTAGCCAGAAAACTATTTGATGTGTATTTGTGATATTTATA